TGTTCAGGTGCAGTTGGAATTTTAGCCTCAAAAGCTGCGACAAAATCCAAGTGGCATAAGAGAAGGGAACAATGAACCCACAGAGATGCTGATTTAGAGCATCAAAGATGCTCTCCTGTGCTGGCAGCAGGATTTGTGCTATGCATTCAAGGGCTCTGCTGGCTCCTGCCTAGTGGGAGCACGTGGTAAAGATGAGGGTGGAGTTTTTAGGTGCCCTTGGCAGATCATTATTCAGCCTACAGCTAAGCCATGGGATCTTAACAGTACAAACCATCATAGAGACAGAAGTAGCAAGATAAACATGCTGCATATTCTACCTTCTGCAGTAACTCAGGGCATTGCAGGACTGGTCTAAATTCATGCCAGGCTGGAATAATGATTGAGCATTTGGGAGAACCTCGTTTGGATCCATTGCTTAATAATCAGCAAAACTTCTCCAGCTCTGTTGCACTTGCTCTGCACGACACCCTTACACAAGTGCTGTTGGCAGGATTTCCATCTGCCAGAAGAGAAAAGGAGGCTCGGAGATGTTCAGGTCCGATTCCCTGGTCCCCACATTTGGATTAATTTAAACTCTGGACTGGCAGCAGTGATGAACAATTTCCTGCTGGTCTTCCCAGGTACTGCTGCCTCTGCTCAACGCTGAACACTGCTCATGCAGATGTTCTTGAATATTAGTGGTCAAAACACTGCTTGACGAGAGGGTCCCACAGGCGCGAGCAGAAGTTTCTGTGTGCTAAACACCATTAAGTGGGAGATTAAAAGCACTTCCACTCACCAGTCTTGCTTGTCCTGAATGACCAGTGTGAGTCATTGGAAACTTCATACAAAGTAAGCTCAGGCAGGGACCTGAGCAGACATGAGGTGACAGCCACCCCTTTAAAGATCCCCTGCTCACTCAACCTCCCTTCTCTTTTCCCCCCACCACACGGAAATTAAGAGGATAATCAAAGTAAAACTCGTGTGTTGAGAAAGAACAATTTAATAGCTGAAAATTAGTAAAATATAGTAGTAATGGTAAAAATGCTTAAAATTATAATAAAAAGGGAAAAACAAATTATGGACAAGTGCTCATCAGCCTCTGATGTGATGGCAGACTCCCCCTTCTTGAACCCCCCCCCCCCCTTATGTGTAAATTGTGTAAATTACCCCCAGTTTATATACTGGGCATAGCACTCTGTGCTGTGGAATATCCCTGGTGAGCCCAGGTCCTTTGTCCTAGCTGTGCTCTCCCACAGTTCTGCATCCCTTCTCACTGGCAGCGCATGAGACAACAGAAAAACACATGGGAAAACAGAAAAATGTCCTTGACTCAGGGTTAACACGACTTAGCAGAAAAACAACAAATCTGAATCCAAAACACAGCACTGTAACAGCTACCGAGAAGAAATTAACTCAGAAATAAGCATAGCTGAAAATCAGGACACAGGGGCACTGGGATGGCACATAATGCCAGGGGCGGCTGGCAGGCTGGGGCAGCTGCAGCTGAGTGAAGAGCAGAAATGACTCCTTGAAACACCTTTTTGTGGGCAGTCTGAGGAAGCACCAGCAGCTGCAGGCAATTCTGTGGCTGCAGCAACCACACAGCTGCAGGGACAGCAAAATCATCCCTCCCTACTGCCATGGGAGAGGCCGAGGGCATCCAGCTTGGGTACAGACATAGCTGTAGGTAGAGCAGCTAAACCTCAGCCCTTGAACCAGATCACTCCAGTAGCAAGAGTGGGGTTTTATTAGCTGAAGAGGGCAGGAGTACCCAGCTTTACATGGCCATTTTTGAACCACTCTGTTACAAAGAATTTGGGAAGTTGATCTTTAAAAACTCTCTTGACATCTATATGTTCATGGACATTCCCTATTAAAAAAAAATGTCTAACAGCTGGACTGCTTTGTGCCAGCACACCTGCACCTCACTGAGGATAGGAAAAAAGAGGTTTGCTCTCTGAAATGCCAGCAGTGCTTCCTTCCTACTGCTGCTGGTTACAGATGGGGAGGTGAATCCCAGCTGTTAACTCCCAGGATAAAGTGTGGGCTGCAGAGAAACAATTGTTCAGCATTTTATCAGTGTGTCCATCTGCTGCCACACTGGTAATATTGGCATCACACAACCAAAATGGTCCTAAAAAGGTCTTCAAGGGTGTTTGAATCCTTTCTGCCTGAGGTGGCATCCAAAAAAAGTGCCCTCAAGCCACCAGTCCTGGCCACAACCACTTGGCTGTGATCTTTGCACAACAGCTTCCAGCTGCAGCTTCAACCAAAAGGCAGCCAGACACAGGGACTGGCAAACCAGCAAGATTGTACTCTTGGGAATGGATTTGGTACTGTTTAGGGCAAAAACTTCCAGGCTTGGCTAGGGGTTTTTTCCTCCTACAAAGACATTTATCCCTGAGTTAATGAACATGATGTTTGACTGCTGCTCTGGCCCCACAGAGCCCGAGAGCCAAACCAGCATAAGGAAGGTTTCTACCCAGCTGCCTAACCTGCTCCATGAGGGAAAATGCAATTTGGATCCTTCCCAAATCCACTGAAACTATCTTTCCAGGAATGCAAAATACAAGCCTGATAAGCACATTTTAAAACAAGACTGGGCTAACTCTTAAAGCTGTCCTTCAGTTCCAGTTGTATTCTAAGCAGCACCAGGATAATTTGCTATCTTGGGGGATTTTATCAATTTTTATCAATTTAGCTGTTGCCTGAAGACTTTCCTTTCCAAATCACTTCAGCTTTTCAGGCCAAGGAAAGAGCTGCTTGAGATGAAGATGGGCCGGAAGAGGAAGAATTATGCTGCCTTCCTTCCCAATGCGGAGCTGCGTCATGGACTGTGGATAAGTGCATTTACCAGCACGGGCCTCCCCCTTCACGGCATGCGATGACTCCCACCTCTCCCTCACCCTGACTCCACAGCAGTGCAGTCCTTGCCACTGCCGCAGTCCTTCCCTACCACGCCCTCCCTGGTGCATCTGACAGACGTGATGCTGCAGTGGAGCAAGACTTATCCTCTTCCCTGAGAAACTGAAGGCAGCAACGCATTTTTAGGAAGTGCAGTGAGTGCAGCAAGAACACTTCACTTGCAGCTCACTGAAGAAACAATATCCTGCCTCCAGAGCCTTTGAACTGACACTTCCTTAGAGCAGGCTGAAAGGAGCCTTTCCACCAGAGGCTGTGCCATGCAGAAAAGCACACTTGCTTGGAGCACAGAACTCCCTAGTTAGGAATGTTTGCACACAGCAATTAAATACCCCAGTGAGCCTGGAGTACAGACAGGATGACACACAATTTGCCATTCAACCAAGCAGCAAGGCTGTGCTCATCGTGCTTTGAAGCACCTGCTTTTCAAAGCAGCTCCGCACCTGTACACAGGTGCAACGTGGCAATTTGCTCCAGGCTGGTGCCCAGGGCTCCCAGCCTTGGCAGGACCAGCCAGCAGGGGGAGGAGTCATTTCCACTCCCACAGATCACCGGCCAGAATTTTAAACATTGACTCACAGGAAGGCCTGTGAAGAGCAGCACAGGCATACCACCACTGCCTTGCCCACACTTCACTCAAATGAGAAGGACTGCTTCTTCTCCCTCTCCTTTAATGCTCCTTTTTTTAATGAAGATGCATCAGGAAAGGGAAGATCCTCACCTGGCCCCGTTAAACACATCCTCTGCAAGAAAAGCACAAGCAGCCTCAGTGACTGTCTAGACTTTGAACCTGCCTCCCAGCCTTGCTGGGTGAAACAGGCTATACCAAAATTGTACCTCATCCAGCACAGCTGACCCAAAATCCTTTCTTGAAAAAGCTTAAAAAACTAAAAAATTATAAACCCCCATACATATATGAAGTTCCCACAGAACTAAAGTAGGGTGTATTTCACCAGACAAGAACCTGAGAGATAACTAACACATGTTCCACTCCCTCCTCCAGTCTCTCACTCCTCCCAGCCTTCTGCCACATCTATCTCACCCCTGCAGAACTCCCCTCCATCTCCACCCTCCAGCACCAGGGCCCAAAAATTGACACAAGACTGAAAAAATGTGAAAACTCTAAAGGAGATACAGTTAGCAAGTGGGCCATGCCCTCCTCTTTGAGGCACCGTAACCACCAATGCCTCTGCCATCACTGCAGCAGGAAAAAAGTTAATGATTACCAGTCCAAGGCAACATCCCTGGTCAGGAACTGGGTCAGCAGCATCAGATACCCCCTTGCTCCAGGTGGGGCTCTGAAGGAATTTGTGTTCCTTTATTCAATCCAAACTGCCACCAGGTCAGACAGGCAGAAAGCGCAAGGAACCCATTACTGTTGCATCTCAAAAGAGAACCCGAGAAGCAACAGTGTTTGCTCCAGGTCTGTCAAATAGATGCATTCCCTAACAAGGAACACAGCAGGAATATAAATTATACACACTCAGGTTAAGTCCCAAGTACATGCATTTGCCTGGTTTGGAGGAAGTCTAGGGTAGGGCTAGGCCATTCCAACATCTCTCTCCAAGAGGTCATGTGCAGAAAAACCCCAAGTCCTGCAACTTGACTGAATTCCAGTTCACATGCTCCCCAACAGATGTCAAATACCAAGTACCACAGACAAGCTGTGTTGGAAAACAGCCATTTCACCTCTCCCCAGTATTCCCATTCAGCCTCCTGCCTTGATCTTGGAAACATAGTACAGGAAAGGCTCAAGTACTCTTGTCTCACAAAGCAGCTCAGCCAGCACTCAGCTTGAGTAGCACATATTCCATTTTGAGATGATTTATTAATAATTTCTGATCTCTTCCAGAGATAAGTCTGCACAATCACAAAAGATGATGCTGGTCCACTCCACTATGGCATTTCTTGAACTTTGCTTTATTGACCTCAGCCTGCTTTTGCACTCCAGTGCCACAGGCAAACTGAAATCTGTCTGGAAATAGTCCAGTTGTAGTGCTCTAGCACCAGCTGTGCTACTAACAGCACTTAATCCATGGTGCAACCTCTCCGAGTCACCTTGAGAGACACATCAGACCAAAAGACATCACCTAGAATGGGTTTAAATGAGTTTTATTTTAGACAACCTACATGATAGATGTTTTTTCGTTTTTTTAAACAATGCCTCCACTCCAAATCAGGGTCAAAATAAGTGAATAAAGCTCAAGATGACATCAGTCCAGTTAGACATTGCCGATTCCTGGTGTTGTGCCGATGAAGAAGAAACAGCAGCCAGCTATGAAGACGAGTGATCCAAAACCATACTGTTTGATTTGTTACTGAAACAAGAGTAGCAAGTGTTAGTTAAAGGTCATGACAGTATCATCAAGTTTCTGTAACTTGTTTGTGTATTCCCCAATTCAATCTGGGCTGCCACAGTCAGGCAGGCAGAAAGCGCAAGGAAATTATTTTTGCATCTTAGTGCAAACCAGGGAGCAACAGGACAAGTGCCCATGGTCTATCAGAGGATGCTGATCATTTTTACAATTGTACAGAGCAACTGGCACCACCAGTTGCTGTGCAAGCCAGGCTGAACACTGATTCACACCCTTCCTACTTGACATACCAAAGTTCAGATTTCCTCTCAAGTATATCCTAAACAAGTACCAGAGCTTACAATGTACCTGGCTGCCTCTGGAAACAGCTGCACCAACAAGCTGAAACAGGTTTTACTGCACATAAGAACACTCTGCTACTGTTCTTTTACTCCACCTTGAAGTATGTGGAGTTATCCAAACAACACATCCAAAAAGTGTACCCCCATAGAGGGTGTCTTCCCATAGAGGAGGTGCACAGAAGCTTCTGCTCCCAGGAGGTAACTTTCAGGTGATCACCTGTTCCAGAGCCAGGAAAGACATCTCCCCTCCATCAGGCTGTGGGAGGTGCTGTGTCTGTCTGGCCACTTGAAGTATTCCTTTAATTGGGCTACTGCTCCACACCAGCATCTGGCTCGTATTTACATGACTTCCATACCAACAAGCCTGTGAGAGGCTTTACAGATAAATTTAGCTGTCTATATACAGACTTCACAAGTCCACAATAACTGGGCAAAGCAACTGTTGATCCCACGCTGTGGTGAATTCCACAGGTCTCCAAGCAAGCCAAAAGCTCACAAGTGCTGGGATCCAAATACTGTCTTGTGGCAACCAGATTCCAACACAGAGTAGTTAAAGCAGACCACAGGAGCTCAGGTAGTTGGAGATGCCAGATAGAAAAAGGTTAAGTACTTGGTCAAGTAATACTGTGTTCCCAAATTTTGGGCAATATTTAAACTGACAGCTCTTGTATAACGACATCAGATTAAGTGAAAGATGAAACATGACCATGCAAGGTACTTCACAATCAACACCCAGAAAAGGGATCCAAAGTAGAAGTGCTCCATTTCAGAGGACCTGCTCTTTAATCTAATGGTTTAAACCCATTCCCAACTACACACATTTCACCAGGGCCAGCCCTTCTGCATTTCTTGGCCATTGAATTGCCATGAATCACAGCAGTGATACTACATCCCCTTTTAGTACAGCTAAATAGTACTCAAAGTTTCAGGAACTTTGTATACTATGAAAGCACCAATCAGGCTGTACTTACACAATACTTAGTTTTCAAACTAGCACCTACTATTCAACTTTAACAGGGATACAGGAGAACAAGAGATGAAGGAGCTCACCATCTACTTGGATACGTTCACCCAATTCAGTACTTACACATTTCTCGATTTCTAAGCCATCCTTAAAGAAAATCATATATGGGGTCACACCATCCTCACGGAAATCCAGGAGAGCCACCATTCCATCTGGATTCATGTTCTCCCCTACAAAGAACTTCAGAGGAACATGTCTCTAAGACATTTAATTGATTAATGCCAGAAGAAAATGCCTTTTTATACAATACCTTCGTATAAACAATACAACATCACCAAGTTCAGTTTAAAAGTCTCCCTGACCAGCCACAGGGATTTTCCTTCTCTGTAGCTTGTCCATCTTAGTGCCACCATGGTTGACACACCAGAAGAAAGGGATGCCACCCAGAGGGACCTTGACAGGCTGGAGAGGTGGGTCCATGGGAACCTTGTGAAGTTCAACAGGCCAAGTGCAATGCCCTACACCTGGGTCAGCGCAACCCCAAGCACAAATACACGTGGGCCTCTTGGGAACGGATTTGACAGCAGCTCTCGGAAGGACATATTTAACGCCATGTAACCCAGCACTGTGAGCTTGCAGCCCAGAAACCCAAACATCAAGAAGCATGACCAGCAGGACAAGGGAGGTGATTTTGTTCCTCTGCTTTGCTGAGACCTCACGTGGAGTGCTGCATCCAGCTCTGGAGCTGGGATCCTAACACAAGAAGGAATTGGACCCGCCGGACCAAGCCCAGGTAAGCCACTGAGATGGTCAGATGCCTGGAGTACCTCTCCTGTGAGGACAGACTGAGGAAGTTGGGGCTTCCTCAGTAAGTTCATCCCTAGAGGCTCCAGGGAGACCTTACATCCCCCAGAACCTAAAAGGGGCTACAAAAAGTCTGAAGAGGGACTTTGACAGGGGCACATTGCAATGGGACAACAGGGAATGAAACTCCAGATTTACATTATATATTAGGAAGAAATTATTTACTGTGGTGCTGGCAAGACCCTGGCACAGACCGACCAGAGGAGCTGTGGATGCCCCATCCCTGCACTGTTCAAGGCCAGGTTGGATGGGGCTCTGAGCAACCAGGTCTAGTAGAAGTTACCCCTGCCCATGGCAGGAAATTGGAACCCGATGACACTTTTCAACCCAAAGCATTCTGTAATTCAATAATTGGTAAAATTATGTTGCTTTGAACAGAGTAAGAGACGGCAAGGGCCAAAGTGATCCAAGACTACTGCAGAGTCCCTGAATCACCATAACAACAAATGTAGCTAACTGCAAGCATTACCAGCTGAAATTACATCTCCAAACAGGTAACAGCTTTTGGCTGTTTCTCCTCCCTGACTCTCAGGGCCCCTAAACCTCTCAGAGACTGTCAGGTTAGCATCCTCACAATAGGAGCCCTCAAAATTCTCAACAAGCTGTTCAGCAGATGAACCAACCACAGCTTATCAATAGTGCTATGAGAAGACACAACTTACCTGGTAGTTTTTGAAGTTGGCAAGGATGTGTTTGATTTGTTCTGCAGCCCCAGTCATGAAAGGCTTTACTCTCTCTGGCTTGTGTTCCTCAAGTCTGGCTTTGATTCTGAAAGGAGAATGAAAAAATGCTCTGAAAACATGTTCTATCTTAATATCTTCACTGTCAGGCATGATGTCATAGCAGAAACAATCTACCCAGCTATCTGTCAAACTTAGATTTTGCTGCCTTTCCCCCACTCCCTCTCAAAGCTGCTAAATTTTAACTTAGCTTTTCAAGTGAAATCACAGAGTACCTGCCCTCCTAATGAAGTCACTTTACAACCACGCTAGTGCTAGGCAGAAATCAGCAAGCTCTTTCCACAGCACCAGGAGTATCACCCACCCACGTCACAAAGCTTTTTCACTTTCAGTATTAACCCCATTGAACACCAACTGATAGTACAACATGAACTAGCAGAAAGACCCATTCACACACATTTTTGGCTGTTTACACTGTCACTCTAGAAAAGCTTCAGAAGTTTTTCTTTACCACCTCAGTCCCTTCCACATGAAGGTTTAACATGGAGAAATATAAAAGAAAACAGCAAGGCCACAAATAAGATCCAAAGCACATGATCAGGTGCTCTACCTCAGCCAAAATAAACATAGATATTCCATCCCCCATTCTTTAGGGCTCCAGTTCTGCCAAGCATTGAGACATTACTGAAGTTCACAGCCAGTTTCACAGCTATGTCAGAACTAACACCTACTAGGAATAAATCCAATGCTGTTTTTAAATCTCAAGCACATAAAACCCACTGCAATGCAACCAAAATAAAAAGCCTACCAACACTTACGCTTTCATGTAATCCTTGATGTACTTCTTGTAGGATTCTTTTGTGAAGCTGGTCTCCTGAAGGTGGTGGTTAATTACTATGTCAACACCAGTTATGACCGTGGCTTCTGTTCCATCTCCCTCAGGACCTTCAGCAGAGGCATTGCCACCAATTAGAGAGTCATCAATTTGACCCTCTGTCCTGGTGACCATCTAGATTTAGAGACATCAAAAAACTTAACGGCTCTGCAAAAAACCTTAGCGCTACCGCTCTTACACACCTATGACCTGAGAGCAGGGCACAACTTGAGAGCCACAGTTCAGTGCAAGGAACCTGGCTGCAGCTTGAGCACTAATTTCCCAGAGACAGGAAAAGTGGGAGTGGATTCAAACTGAAAGGCAGTAGGTTTAGATTAGGTATTAGGAAGAAATTCTTTATGTAGGAGGCACTGGCAAAGGCTGCCCAGAGAACCTGTGGATGCCCCACCTCTGGAAGTGTTCAAGGCCAGCTGGATGGGGCTTTCAGTAACCTGGTCTAGTGGAAGGTATCTTTGCCCATGGCTGGGAGGTTGGAACTAGATGATCTTCAAGTTCCATTCCAACCCAAAGCATCCTATCATTCTATGACTCCCAAGAACAACTCCCACACGGTGCATAACCCAAGCTCCATTACACTCCAGCCTGGCTGACCCAGGCTCTCTCAGGCACCACGTACGGCAGCACGGGGCACTGGGCCAAGGTAAGTCTTCCCTTCTCTCGTTCCCTGCCCGGGCCCTCCGCAGGGACGCCGCCCCCACTCCCCACCGGCCGTGAGTCACCGCGGCAGCCCTGCCTCCCTCCCTCCTTCGGGGCGGGCGGGCACTCACCTTCCCCTCCACTTCCAGGCACAGGCCGTCCGCCACCTCCCGGATCTTGTAGATGTCCGAGAACATCTCATCCTCTGCGGGGGACACACAAGCACACACACACCCAGCCGGGTCAGCCTCCGCCTCCCGGCACCCAGCACGTCCCCCATCGCTCCCGCCCCCGGCCTCCGCGCCCCCCCGCCCGGCCCGGCCCCGCACATGCGCGGCGGCACCGCCGGGCCCAGCGCACGGGCCCGGCCCGCGCTTCTCCCCCCCAGCGCCGGGCGCCGGCCCGGTCGCCCCTCCCGGCCGCGCCGCGCCCTTCCCCCGCGGCCTTACGGCTGATGCAGTCCCGGTAGATGATCATGGCGGCGGCGGGGGGCGGCGGGGGCGCGGGGTCTCAGCGCAGCGACCCGGGCGCGGGGCGGGAGCGGGGCGGAAAGGGCCGAGTCAGCGCCTGCCGGGGCTCATATAGCGGGCACGGCCCCGCGCGTCACCGCGCACGCGCACTGCTCGCCGCCCCGCCCCGCCGCCGGCTGCGCCCCCGCGCGGCTGCGGCCGGAACTGCCGCGCGAGGAGGGCGCGAGCGCGGGGCTCGCGCAGCGCGGGCCGGGGCAGCGCCCAGGGAGCGGTCCCGGTCCCTGTCACTGACCCTGGCCCTGGCACTGCGGGGAGGCCTCCCCTCCGTCTCCTCCAGGATGGACATGCCAAGCGCCTCATTGAGGCTTCCCCTCCAGGTCCTTCACCATGGTCACTGCCCTCCTTCGGACGCTCTGACCGCCCCGTGTGTGTCTCACGCTCGCGCCCAGGACTGCCCCAGCACTCGAGGTGAGGCCGCCCCACGCCAGAGCAGAGCGGGACGGCTCTGCTCGATCCCCTCCCTTGCCCGGCTGGCGATGCTGTGCCTGATGCACCCCAGGACACGGGTGGCCATCCTGGCTGCCAGGGCTCTGCTCAGATTCAGCTTGCAAAACCGGGAGCAGGATTTCATCCTTCCCGAGTCAGGGCTGGCAGCGACCTCCAGAGAGCAACCAGTCCTGCCCCATGCCAGAGCAGGGCTGGTGCCTCTCCCTCATTGCCCATGGTTGTATTTCATGGATTTCAACACCAATTTTCCTCTTTCTCCTAATCTTTTAAGCTCTCAGTGACACTTTTCTTTTTCTCTTAACTTCTTATGAGGTGTCTGGGATGTACTGGCTCTTTTCTCATTACTCAGAGTCACCAAGCTGGAACAATCACATTTTCACTTTCTTTTTCCATTTGGTGCAAGATGGTACAGCTTTTGGGCACATCCATGCATCCTTTCTTTTTCCCCAACCTCTTTTTTCAGGGAGACAGTTATGTATATCCACTCTCTTTTCCTTGTGTCATTTTAGGAAGAATTTTTGCACCCATATTTTCCAGACTAGCCTCCAATTTAACACAGACAGCCTTGTAAATCCACACACTGACTTTCCAAGGAGAACTGCACCCAACTTTTCCCAAGCACCCCAGGGAAGCACTGCTGCCCTTGTCCCACCACAGCCAGAGTGTCCCCTCCATGGGCAGCCTGACAGGTGTGTGTCTGTGTCAGCTGTCCTGGCCACTTCCAGCTGCCGCCTCCTCGCCATGATCCCCACACACCACTGAGTGGCTCTGGACTTTGCAAGGGCTGGGACACAGGGACACAGAAAGTCATTCGCCCTACTGGGTGTACATGGGCATACATTTGCTCTACTGGGTGCTGGACCTTCTCCAAATATGTGCTGTTTTCAAAACATTTATAGAGGAATAATTAGGAAGCTGTTGGACTCTTCCTGTTATTATTCCCTCAGGGAAATTCAGTAGGGTACGTTCAGAGGCACCACTTGTGCACTTGCGAAAGGGCTGGCTGGGGCAGGTATATTTTTCTTATTTTTCTAAGGATAAGTGAGATTTAGCCCAGTAGTCAGGGTCGAGATGAAAAACGGAAGGCCAATTATGCCTAGACCTCTTTTTCCCCCTTTAGACTTGATTTTCTGCAGCAGCCTGTCACAGCTAGAACAAATCTAGACCTCACTTGAACTCTGATTCTTAAGAGACATTGAAAAAATGCCTTCAAAAGACATCATGGGACCTGAAATGCTTAATGCTGCTAATGATCTCGGACTTGGCAGAGACATCAGAGCACAGGACACAATTCCCTGTCCCTCACCTTCCTTAGGCAGTGGAGCTCCCTTTTTGTCTCCTTCTTCCCTGCTCTTCCTTCCTTTGTTCCAGATATCAGTGCTCTTTTTTTTTTAAGATGGTCTAGCTTCTTACGTAATTTAATTACATTTATAAGTTGTTCTATGTTGGTTTTCACCTTCAAGACTACTGCTGTTATTTCAGGCCTGAAGAAGGGGCTTCTTCCCAAAAGCTTTTCCTGGTTGTTTTTTTTTTTTTTTTCTCAGTGGCAGCTGGCCTGATAAAAGATAGCCCCTCTTTTTACAAAGCACAGTAAAAAAAGAGCAACTTACATCTTTAGCAGTGTGTTGAGTGACAGGGGAACATTTGGCTCCTTCTACGTAGTGTAATATGCAGCTAAAAACATCCAGTTAGTAGGTGTGCTTCAATTTGGTTTTATTTTCAGGAGACCGTTCTAGAAAAATGGATATTTCTGCAGTAGTCCGGAAGCCTGTTACAAATTCATCAGTTGACTCAATTGGCTGAAGTCAGGGTAGAAAGCTTCTAGCACAGTATGAAGGTAGATGGACCTTCAGGTTGCTTTGCCTTGCCAGTAGGTCTGTATTAAGAGTTGCAGGTGTAAAATGTGAGATGTCATCTACAAATGCATCTGTTAAATGGGTCAAGGCCCCTGTGTGAACATCAGCTTGATGTGGAGTGAAATCAGTATCAAGCTGAAGTTAGCAGTGTTTAAATTGGCATAGGCGTCACTGAGGTACCAGTGCTGAAATTTTCCTGTGATCCCATATAAACACAGAATTATGTCATGTGCTTATACTTTGTGAAATAGATTTGAAGATGCTTTTTTTTTTTTTCAGAAACCAGTGACATTTGAGAAAATCTTAGTGTTCCTCACCTGCTTTCTGTCCAGGCAGCCTCTTCGAGCATTTCTCACATCCAGCCAGAGCTGGATTCACATTTCAGAGTGATAGGTTAAAAATGTGGTCCTTCCCTCCCTCTGCCTTTGTAGTTGCCAATTGACAACCAAAATGACGTGAGAAGTTTTCCTGATAGTGTACCTCACCTTTGGTGTTGTGTAAATCCCGAAGGACTGAGGGAAATACTGTGGGTTTATAGAGGAGTCTTCTAATAGTATCTGAGGAGGATTTTCTAGGCAGGCGTCTGCAGAGTCTCACAAGAAGCCTTTCTCATGGAAAGCCACACCTCAGACACTTGTGAATTACTGCAGTATTACTTCCATCAAATATTGTGCGAATATGGCTGTGCTCAACTAATTGTGTCTTGGATTAAAGTGCCAGACGACAGCTGATACTACACCATTCAGTCCCTAAATAAACGGTACATTTTCACCCCATTGTGGAAACTCCTACTGAGCTGTAAGAAAAGGGAGGGGATCCTGCCTTCAGCTGTGTCTCCTGCAGGGTGCAATCAGTGGAAATAAAGCAAAGGTGAGGCTGGAGGAAGAGAGGTGATACTGGATTATGACATAAGGGATGGCACCAGTGTGTTCTTCTAACCTTTGTAAAAGGCTGTGAAAGTCACATAAAAGTGGTGATGTTTTGTATCATTTGCTGGTGTGGGGAGAGGATCCCAAGTACACATCTATATCTGCTGGTAGAAAGAAATTGGAAAAAAATGAGGATTAAAGAGCACGCCCTGGTGCTGCAGAAAGGCTGGCAGGACAGTCTATGCCCAGTGTTCCCTTCCCCAGTGCATCTCTCAGCACAAAGGCTTTGGGTGAGAGGATGCACGTGATCAGCTCATGTCTTCACAAATCTATTTGGAATTTATGACTGAAACAAGGAACTGTGACTTTCTAGCCCCTTTTTTAACACACGCAGTTGGAAACTGTAGTTTTTAACTGGTTTCCTTCAAGGTCTTTCCCCAGGACATTTCCAGACAATAAAGAGTTGATCACTATTTGTTACCCTTTCTTATAAATTGGGAATTGATCTTACAAAGCCAGACCATCAGTCTTTTGTTGAGCAACAACCCCACTTGCACTCAGAACAAATGCAGGTGTTCTTACCTTGGCATTTTCAGTATTTGTTGTTCCTCTCGCTGGCTGCTGCACTTCTGCGAGCAGACACAGAGGTCACTGCGCAGCCACAAACCCCTTTTATCTGTGGCACTGCTTGCACAGGGCCAGCTCGCCCAAACCCTGCCCTGGGGAGTGTGAGGCTGTCAGCCGGCACTGCAACTGCTGCGTTTTTAGGAAAAACAGGACTGCCATATGCAAATTAAGAACTATAAAGCAAGGTGCCTACCCACAATTTTATACTTACTGACCGTATAAACATCCATGAAAGGGATGTGGTGGAAAGGCCTGCACCTGATCCTCAGGTCTGCTGCCAGTGTGTCCCACTGATGTGCTCAATGATGGAATACAGAGTGCATTCATTAAAGTGGCAGTAACATTACATTGGGAAGGACCACAAATGTATTGGAGATTAAGATTGGAATTAAAAAATGATTTTGACACATTGGACGAGTGGTCTGAATTATTAGAAGGCATTTGGACAAGGCCAGCAGGACAATGAGCACTCAAACCTTTACTGAAAGGAAAATTTAGGCTTTTGAACACAAAGGAAACCAAAGGCTTTTGAACACAAAGATGCATAACATTCAAACAAGCTCTGAGCCACACATTACTAGAAACTGAAAGAGTGCATAGGGGAAGTGCTGCCTTATCCTGGCCCTGGTGCTCTTCTCTGCTGTAGGCTTCTGCTGTTGGCAAATGCCAGGGAATGCTGAGAAGATGATGTGCTCCGTATGGGTGCTCTGGTGTCATGCTCATGAGTGCAGGGCAGAAATGATTAGCCATGGACACAGGACAGAGATCTGGGCAGCAGTTCTACAGAAAAGATCTGGGATACTGGTGGATTCAAAGCTGAACAAGAATCTTAGAGGCATAGAAACATTTAATTTGAAAAAGGCCTCTGAGATCACTGAGTCCAATCATTAACCCAGCACTGCCAAGTCTACCACTAAAACATGTCCCTGAGTGCCACATCTACCTGTCTTTTAAATACTTCCAGGGATGGTGACTCAACTACATCCCTGGGCAGCCTGTTCTGATGTTTGACCAGCCTTTTAGTGGAAAAAAAAAAATCTTGATGTCTATTTCACCTGCTCTGAGGAAAACCCACACCATATTGGAGTAGATAAGTAGTGATGTTATGTTTAAGAAACTTTTGCTGTCATAGATATGAGGGGCTGAGTTCTGTTTGGTGGTGCTGATATTTCCTGGAGCACTGACTTCAGCTTTAATAACACACTTTGAAAAAGGTATGCAAGGATTCACAAGAGCAGAGGGAATGAGTAGAAGGAATATGAGTTTGTTTTGCTGTGAGAAATATTTAGATT